AGAAATCCGAGTGTGCCAGGCTGCACTGTAAAGTCTTATCTTGGAAGTCTGGGCAAATGATTCAGCATACAGAATTAATGACAATAAGGTAGCAATTAGTTGCTCAGTAAGTCACCCTAGCACTGTGCCACCAATACAACTCTCAGGACTACATTTCTTTCATGAATAAGACAAAATGCCCAACACAAAAACTGCAAAGGAATCAGGCTTATTTAACTCACAATTTGCACAGGTTTCAGTCCATAACTGACCAATTTCCAGAAAGGGTGGCATGGCACAGACGCATTGCAGAGGGAAAAGGGTTCATGTCAGGGAGAAAGCAACAAAACTGGACAAGGGACAACCATGGCACTTTCTATCCCTTGTATTTTATCCAGGTTACACAGAACAGGAATCACTCACACCCTTAATCCAAAGCCTTTCATTTTAGCGTTTTGCAATGAATCAATCTCAGTTTCACATATTCTAGATCCAGCCTACTGTGAAAAAGCCACATTTAAGGCTGCTTGAGTCTTTGGAGTAATATTTAGACACATATAATGACAACAATGTTCTCAGTTTTGTGTGATACCTAATTTCAAACAGAGCACACTTTGAAGCCCAGCCTGGAATGATCTGGGCTGCCTGATCTTTTTACATATATGCATTAGGTTGTTCTTAATTTTTTAGTTGGGAACAGAAGCCCAGTAGAAGAGGGGTTTCTATTCGTGGTCTGTCACCCCAATGCAAGATAATAGAAGATACACCACAGTAGTTACCAAGCAGAAGTTAGAGATACTAAGGTTTCTTTAACATCAATTTTACAATCATACAGTGGACGTTTCGGTAAATGATTCAGCACATTTCTTACCTACCACAAAATATACATCTGCCCCATGCTCCATAGATGTGGTGAGAATGTTCACAGCATGAGACCCTGAGAAAAATGAGAATAGAAAGAACCCATCGCTCTAGAAAGACAAAGTATAACCTTTGGGCACTTTATAAACAAAATGCTATAGAAAGGAAAATAAACTTTACAATGTGAGGAAAATTTCACATTTACAATACACCCAATGACTGGTTTTGAGCAAAAAAATTACAGAGAATGAAAAGGAATAATAAAGAATCACCCACTCACAAAAAAAAATGAAGTTTGTGTAAAACATTTTGAACAGCTTAGGCATTGGATAGACTAACAAAAGGTTTTAAATCTGCCCACTTTAAAACGCTCAAAACACTGAAGTGAACTCACAAATAACTAAATGAAACCAGACACTATGTACAAAAAAGTAAAGAATACTCATAAAAACAAAAATATTTATTTCTGGAGCTTAAAAGCATGATAGTTGAAATGAAAAGTTCACTAACAAAGTCCAACTCTCTGAACATAGAGAAGAAAAGAAGTAGTGAATTTTTAATAAAAATGAAATAACTCAGTCTGAGAAATGAAAGAAATAAAGAAATATGAACGAAGTCTAAGGGTCCTATAGGACACATTCAATATCATATATATAATATATATTTTTGTCATATATATATATATATCAGATATATATAAAGAGAGAGACAATGGAAGTTCAAGATACTTAAGAAAGATAGATAATTTCAAAATCAAAAACATTTCCATAAATGATGGCCCCCAACTTCCCAAATATGATGAAGTATAAGAATACACAATCCCAATAAGCTCAAAATTTCTAAGCAGGTTAAACTCAAAACTCAAAAGGGCACTTACTACAAGGAAACTGTTACAACACAAAGAGAAAACCTTCCAAACAGGAAAAAGAAGGGACTCATCCCATAAAATGATTCTCAATGAGATCTCACATTAGAAACCTTAAGGGCCAAAGGCACTGGGACCATTTCCTTACAGTGCAGAAAGAAAGTCCTGTTGGGCAGGATATATAGCTTAGTGGCACAGTGCCTGCATGGCAAGTGCAGGGTGTAAATTCAATCCTCAGTACCAAGAAAAAAGAAAAAAGAAAGCTGTCAACCAAGTATTCTACATCTAGAGAATCTATCCTTCATCACTTGGCATTAAGTGAAGGGTGGTGGTAGATGCCTGCAGTCCCAAGACTCTGGAAGGCTGGTGCAGGAGAAACCTAAGATCTAACCAAAGCAATTTAATGAAATCTTGCCTCAAAGTAAAAACTAAAGAGAAAGGTAGGATGTAGCTCACTCCAAAGATCCTGGGATCAACCTTAAGTACCATCAGTAACAATCAAACCAAAAAAAGAATATACCCCGATTTTTTAAATGTGCCAGCCTATAGGAAATGCCAAGGCAGTATGGAGAGAACTGATTAGTGAAAAACACATGACATAAAAAACAAGTAGCACAATGTCATAAAAAACCTTTCACTATAAGTAATCCTTTTAAATGTAAATAATTTAAACTTTCCAAAATTTAAAGAATGATTTTAGAAACATGATCCAACCATGCAATATTCAAAATAGACAAGTGCATAGAGAAAAAAGTTTAGCAGTGCAGTATGCAGGACGATGAGAAAAAGGTTGATGGGGAGCAATCATTTAATATTCATACAACATTTTGAGGTTCCAGAAATAATTTGAAATTCCAAATGCACATTTTAAATGCCATAAATTCTACTAAATTGTATGCTTCAAAATAGTTACACATGTAACATGCTAACTTCCCCTTAGTTTTAAAAATGAGTCATAAATGTGTTTATCATCATCCCTTGTTAAATTTTTCAATGCAAATATATATGAAAAATGTATTAGGTCATACTTCAAAATGTTAATGCTATGTATTGAGTGAAAAAAATCAGGTAATTTTAATTGTTTATGTCACTGAGCAAAGATCTGGAAGAGTTTAATTATTTACACTTTATGTTGATTTTTTAGTTTACAACTTTAGAAATTTATTACATATTAATTTTTAATAAGACTGTGAAACAATTATTAAGGTAATAGTGAGTAATTGGATATTTTAAATGTGGTTAAAACGTTTAAATTGTAAGATTAATTAAGACTGAGTACAACAGGAAGTAAATTACCTTGTATCTACAGCATTGCACTGAGTTAATGTGCTCACCGCATAAGTTTAATGGGCTGTATATAAGACTATGGAAAGCAGTACAGTGATTTCTCAGAAAACTAAAAGTAAACTATTCAGCCCAGTCATGTCCCTTCTAAAGACAGCAGTTTCCCTATCTTGCTAAAGGAGAAAGAAACGTATTTACAGTAATATACTCATATCCATGTTCATAGTAGCACAATTCATAACAGCTATAACTTAGAAGCACACTGTTGGTCTGTACAGCAATAGATGCATTTTTAAAAATGTGGCATTGTACACAAAGGAGTACTACTCTTTTATAAGCAGGACAAACATGAGGAATTTGTAGAAAATGATTGTACTTAGGACCACGATGTTAAGTAAAATAAACAAACAATGCAACATTAAATATCATATGGTTTCTCTTTTGTAAGAGACCTAAGTATAAATAAATTAAACAGCCAAATAAAAGATGCACAATAAGAAACAGTGATAGATTTTTTTCAGAGAAGAAGAGGACTAAGAGTTTTAAGGAGGGGAAAGAGAAGAGACAAGAAGAGGACAAGAAGAAATAAGATGCATTACATACAAAATTCCCACAATAAGTATAATCATTATGTAACACAAATATTTATAACAAAATTTTCAATTGTCTGGGGGAGATAGACAAACGCATGCTATTTTTCTTTCCTGCTCTGCAAATTTTCTTTTTCTTTTCTTTTTTTTTTTTCGTCTTTTTCGTTTTTATCGGTACCAGGGATCGAACTCACAACTGCCTGCTTGCAAGGCAGGTGCTTATGCCGCTGAGCTAAATCCCCATCCCCTCTGTGAATTTGCTTAATGAATATGTATTATAATTACAGTCAGAAAAATAATTTACTTTCTAATTATTTACAACCGGCAAAGTTCAGTTAAAAACAAGCTCAGCTTTGATAAATGTTGATGGTTCTCTATTGAAAATGAAGATACACCAGAATGATTTCTTCTCAAGTGTAATACTCCTCAGAGAAAAACATGTAAAACATGAACAGGAAGCTTAAATCACCAAATCAAATTGTTCATACCTACAGTTGGCCATTGAGCAACAGTATTTGCCATGGATGCAGGTAGGCAGTCTTCAAAACAGGAACACTATGGGAGAAGGATATCATGGAGCAAGGCAACTCTCAATTCCTATAGAATGGGAAGAAGAGAAAAGAAAACGGGCCCTAAAGACAAGGGATCAGTATTCTGATATACACCCCAAGACACCTCCATATTTAGTTCAGGTTGTTCTACTGGGATTCACAACAGCACAACCAAAGCAAAGGGAGTAACCTATGTCAAGACACAGATTGATTTGCAAGGACCCACAGCAATTTGCTAATTTAGACCAAAAACGCCAAGTGCAGATATTTTGTTTAAAAATATTGAGAAGAGAGGCCTACTCCATCACGCTGAATGTTTATAATTAAATAAGACATGTTTAGGATTCCCATTGAAGGAGGCTATGATGATGTCAGAGTCACCAGATGGATTGAGTGGATGCTGGCCACACTTTGTTATTCCTAAGTACATTGCTCCACTGTGGCCTTCCTGATATTGGATTACTGGGTTTCTGTCTCTTTCATCAGATGGTCAGCTCACTCTCCAGCATGCTTGCTCCTAGCACAAGAGATGGTCCTAATACTCAAATGCTTCTAAAACTACCCTGATGAAACCTGGCATTGATAATTATGTCACTGGGAACCCATGTTTATGAGAATATCCTGGCCAATACCACATCCTGCAGACCCACCTTGCACATCTGGGTTTCTGGTGAGGACAGGAACACATGATTTGATCTGAATCATCAGCTCTGGTCATTATAGGGGTCTCACACACTTAAAAGGTGTCATGATGAGAAGAGGCGGTGGCAATAGTGTGTTGTTTTAGAAAGCCTCTCAGGGTAAGCACCACAAAACCAGTGACAAACATGAGTACACTGAGCCAACTCCTCCCCTTTCCTCTGCTGGGGGCTAAAAGACAACATGGACAAATCTTCATAAGCTTTGACTTGGAGACACTTATTGCTTCTTGGGAAGATGCACCTGCTCCTGCTCCTGTTGGCCTTCTTTCTACTCCCCAGAGCAGAGGCAGGTGAGTGACCACCTTCACCCTCCAGGTGCCCAATCTTATTGCACAGAGCATATGAATCACTTGTGTCTATGCAACACCCCAGAGCCTTCTGTCTGCCAGCATTGCTCTGAACCTGAACTCCATTCCCACCAGAGGGAATCAGGTAGGACACTGCATAAGCCACCAGAGTTTGCTTTCAAGAAGAGCCGATTGATAATGTACCCTTAGTAAGCCTCAGCATGCACATCTAGAGAGTCTTTCTTCAAAGTTCATGCAGGTGAGAAGTAAAAAGAAGAAAATATCAAGCACTTCTAAACAGGGCAAAATAGGCCAGTCATCCCGGTCAGGGGAGGGGAAAGGCTTTGCATTCATAACTGCCTAGCAGAGATGCCCAGAGCTCCCCAGAATGGATGGAATCTCTGTCCTCAGAACACTGTTTTTGCCTCTCCTCACTGCTACTAACTTTCTCCAGCTCTGCTTTCCTCCTCCGGACTTCAGTGGCTCCTCTGTTTTCCAGGAGGAGCCACAGAGGCAGACTCACAATTCTCTGCTTTCCAGAATTCCATCTGCACTGCTCTACTAACCAGACACTAACTGCAGCTGTTCCTTCATGCTGCCAGGAAAAAGATCTGAGACACCCTCTACATGTCAGGCCTTAGGAAAGAGGATAAGACCACATCTACAGTACACCTAGAGGGCTGCCAGGAGGAAGCATCACCATCCTAGACATCACAGGACTCAGAAGGGTTTTATTTACTCAAGGGAAGGAAAAAGTTAGCAGAGGAATGATGAAAAGCCTCAGAAGTTTTATTTTCCCCTGATACATATAGTCATCTTCAATCAAACAGACTAAAAGGACAAGTAGAACAAGACTCAATTTCCTGCCCTTTGGAAAACATGTTCAGGCATCTTCCTCTAGGTTCCTGTCCACTTCAAGAAACTGCATGCTCCCAAATGCCCAACTGTTCAGAGACTGTAAATAGATATTTGTTAAAGGACTCAGTGGCTACACCCAGTCTTATTGTTGTTTTCAGGAGAGATTATCGGGGAGCATGAAGCCAAACCCCACTCCTGCCTACATGGCTTACCTTAAGATCAGGCTTGAGAAACCTAGAAAACTTTGTGGTGGCTTCCTGATTCAAGAGGACTTTGTGCTGACAGCTGTTCACGGTTTACAGAGGTGAGAAAGGAACAAGAGTCCACAGGCTACAGAAAACACTTCTCAGTGCCTGTTTTCTGTGGAGCTCGATGAGCTCATGGACATAAATATGAGGATGACTGGTGAGAGTGAGAAAGGGTCATCATATCCCAAGGGAAGAGAAGCAAGTCACTGCCAAAGAATTCCTGATATAAGGAAAACCAGGGCAATCAAACCTGATTACAAGTAGACCCAGGAGCATATTTGGCATAACCAAGCAAACTAAAACAGTTTCATGTCCTTTCCTGGAGGCACTGACCACTGAGAACCTCTGGTGCTCAAGGTGCCCTCCCTCAGTACTAAGAAGGAGGGACAGTCATTCAGCCGGGTAGCCCTCTGTCCACTACAGCTATACCCTGTTTCAGTTGTGGCCTGCTTCTACAGATCCTGGGTTTTGTCCTTTGTAGCTCTCCATCCAACAACCCACTTGCCTCAGTGTACAACCAATTAGAGGTCACATTGGGTGCCCACAACATCAAGAAGCAAGAGGACACCCAGCAGGTTATCTGTGTACAAAAAGCATTTCCCCGCCAAGACTATAATCCAAAAATCCACATCAATGACATCATGCTGCTGAAGGTAAGGTACATGTCCTTGTCACTCTTGCTCTCCTCAAGAATGGTTGCCACTCCCACTGGCACCCTGCCCCTGCCCTCTTTGCCATCATGTCCATCACACTGTGCATACCCAGGAGCATACACTGAACTGGACTTCCTTACTTATTTTCCACCAGCTGGAGAAAAAGGCCAAGCTGACTAAAGCTGTGCAGCTCCTCATCCTGCCCAAGGGCAGGACCCAGGTGAATCCAGGTACCGGGTGCCAGGTAGCTAGATGGGGAAAGTTGGATCCAGAGGGTACACCTTCAAGAACACTGCAGGGAGTGGAGATAGTAATGCAGAATGACGAGAAGTGTGAGGACAGCTGTGCAAAGTATGATCCTGCTACAGAGATTTGTGTGGGAGACCCAAAGATTAAAAATACTTTGTTTAAGTTAAGACAAGGCATTATAACCTTTTCTGAGACGGCAGCCCTCTTGATCAATGAGCTCATCATCTGTGCTCATTGTCAGACCTGGTCATCAACCTCCCTGGCCTGTAATCAATGGTCCTCACTATTCTACAGTGGTGAGCTCCAGACCTGGGGATGAAGACAAAGGCTGGCTCCAAGAGTGAAAATGCCCATAGTCAGAGCTCAGCCACTAAGAGCCTATAGTTCCCTCTAATCTCTCACAAGCACACCTTACAATCAGTACTGCATGAGAGGGCTTGGGATAATGAAAGTGAGAAATTAAGTGGTGCCATGGTTCACAGACTCACTCTCTATTTACAGGGTGACTCCGGAGGCCCCCTGGTGTGTAATAATGTGGCACAGGCCTTTGTCTCCTATGCACCAAAGAATGGAACAACACCATGTATCTTTACCAAAGTCTCATGGTTTCTACCCTGGATAAAGAAAACTATGAAACAGAGCTGACTGCACACAGTAAAGTAAATCCCGTTTATGAGCAACCATCTTACCTGGAGCTGCGTCTACAATCACTCTAGAGCAGATGCCAGCTACTAAATAAATGTTTCATCTCAGTGGAAGGCTAGTCTCTTGTTTGCTCACTTACTTATGAGGACCAACTCTTTGCTAAGCAGGACAGTGACACAGTTCTGATGATTTCTGCCTCCTCCACACCTTCTCCACTCAATACTTTTCCAAATCCCCTCTCAAAACTGTTACCAACCTTTGCCTTATACACTTTAGCTTCTCCAAAGCCTCTCTTTTTGCAAGGGCTACAGTTAAGCACCAACTGAAGAAAAAGTGGACATCTTTCTTTCTAGGGCTCCAGGGGAACATATGACTTCTCCTGTGTCACATGTAGAGGGGACAGGGATGATTTCATGGGTCCTGGAGATCATCCAGGCACCACTGAGGTCACAACAGGACCCCATCAGTCTGGGTAGAGGAAGGGTATACCTGATGAGGACATTTCTCTCCCACAGGTTTAGGGATGCACATGGAGTGCCAGGTAACCTGACTGACTCTTCACCTTCACCTGAAATTTGTTTCCTTCTCCATTCTCCTCTAAGAACAAGGCTAACCTTGGCTTACAGCCACCTGGATGCCCATTTTTATCCCTCCAAGAGTTGTCACTGTCTACCAACTACTCTCCTTATGAGGCCACACTGATTTGATATTGTAACCTCTTCAAATCTCCCAATCCAGGACCAAAACCTGTCTCTCTTCACAAGTTAATGAAACCTTGGTTCAGAACTGGGTGGTGGCCTTTATTCTGCTTAGCTATTTTTCTGACTGAACCCAGGAACCCCTTGGTTCCCCACAACTACAGATACTGGTTTAACTCATTATTCATGCCATGAATTTCACTGGATTTGGTAGATTGAAATTTATTTATTAGAATTCCCATAACTTTTCCTGGATTTACCAATATAATCTCCTCCTTATTGTGAAGTGTGTACAAAGTGCTAGGCCAGATGCTGGGGATTAGCTCACCTGCCAAGGCACCTACCAGGCAATCACAAGGTACTGAGCTCACTCCTAGGTAAAAAACAAAAAATAGTGCCAGGTCTTAGGTTCTATGATGAACATAATCATAGATCCCAGTGAAGCTGGTATTGTCACAGACTTTCCAAATTAACTCCACTCCATCCTCCAGATTGACCAATGAGGCCTGTGTGGAAATTTTGTGAAATAAAACATCTTATTTATATTTCTTCTTACAGTTTCTATCAACATTATCACATGATACTTCAAAACTGTATGAAATTTAAAAATGACCTTAGTCACACACTTTTCAGATAGCAAGTTGCTAAATGATTCAAAAGAGGGCCCCTAGGTGATAAGATAATGAAGCAGGCTTATTTTCATTTGTTGGAAAGGAAACAAATATACATGTTATCATAAAAAATCCAATTACAGGAAACACACATGTCCAGTCCACTGCTGGGAACCATAATCCCTGTCAGCACTACAGTGCCCTCCTCTGAAGAATCAAACTTGAGTCTGGGAGGCCACCACATAAGAAAATGGGGAGCTATCTGTAATATTTAGGTCATCATGAATGTTACTGATACATCCATTATATCTAATGTTATCCAAGCTTCTCTTTGTTGAGAAGTTCATAGCTTAGAGAACACAAAGTGCATGGCATTTTTCCCTGTGGGTGCTTTATTTACCTTGCTGAATATTCCCTTTACCTGGAACTGCAGGGTCAGGTCACTAATACTCCACAATGCCTGGCAGAATTCGGATCAATCTTTTTTTTTTTAAGAGGAAAAAGAGAAAAACACAAAACAAAACAAAGCAGTGTAAGGTTACATATAATACAGAACTACAAAAAAAAACATAACAGTAAGAAATCACCTGTTAATAGATTACATATTATCATCTTGGAAATAGTTGCTCAAATCACAGTATCAAAGAATACAAAGTAGACATTCAAACAGAGAGACTACAAACAGCTGTGTTCAATGGATCAATCTTAATGTCTCTATGTCCCAAATACACAAAATACTACATTCTTTTTTGGCACAGAGTTAAATCTTACTCTGAGATCCTGTAATTCTCAAAGGCATGCCTTCTCCCATCTGTTTACAAAGTATGCTGCATCACAGTCTCATAATTGTCTTGTGTAGCTTTACAAGGGAAAATCAACTTCTGACTTGAGTCTGAAAATCAAAATTCCTGCACCTAACACCTACTGAAGATCTGGCTCCTTCCTCAGGAAAAAAGAAATGAAAATCCACAAAGCAAAAAACCAAAAAATAGTATTTAAAGTGTTTCCCAGTCATATACATGAATACTTCCACGTTCTATTTACTTTGGGGAAATGGGTTTGTAGTTTAAAACTCCTTTGAAATGGATTACTGTAGATTAGTCCCGATCCTACTCTAAAAGAAGATAAAGAAACAGAGTCCCAGGAAAAGATAGTGATGACCAAAGTAATGCAGAAGTTAGGAGAGAGCTTGGACTGAGCCAGGTTCTCTAACCACCTGCCTACCAGCAGCCCTGGTCTTCTAACTCTCAGTCCATATTTGGCTCCATCTCCACAATCTTGAACTTTGCTGGTCTATTGGTCTTACTTCCTCAATAACAAGGCAGCTGTCATCTGCTTAAGTGGGCCATGATGATAGGTGGATTATTGATCCTGATATCTAAGGTAAGATAGGATTCCCTGAATTGACCCTTAGTGACAGTGGATGAACATCAAGGTAAGGCCATCACAGAGGTATCCTGACTTCACTAGGTTACCTTGCTAGGACAACTGAGTTGAGATCTACCAATTTGTGACTTTTATTATCTGCAAGGAAAAAGAATGGAAGTTTGCATTTTGACATAGATGTGAACTGTTACCTCCATTTCCCTTAACATACTATCTAAGGTTTCCCATCCTCTATTATCTACACATGTAGTTAGTAATAGGTATCTCCCACACTGGAGTTTTATATAACATATCTAAAGTAGCTCGTATATCCTCTCAAGCACAGTAAGAAACGAATCCATATAAATTCCCATTGCTTTCACCAAGTACCATATTTTTCCATGCCAGGATTTACTCAATCAAATGATACTCAAAAATTATTTCAACAATTCTTTTCTTGAAGCTATTTATGGTGTTCTAAGAGATGTTATTATATATCTATATACAATTTGGGATGATTAAGTAAGGCTCATCAACATAACCGACAGTTTAATAATTATGATATTTTATACTCAGAGCATCTGAAGTTTGCTCTTAGGAATTCTGAAATACACATTACCATGGGAGATAAGTGTGATGTATACACACTACTAAGTATGATCAGTGTGATGTACAACAGATATCAAAATCTTACTTTTTTGTCTGGCTAAAACTTAGGACCCTCTGACCAACATCTCCAAAGGTTCCTAAATCTCTAGCCTGTGATAACTACTATTATTCACTATATCTACAAGTACAATGTTTTTCAATTTTCCACAAAATAACAACGTATATTTGTTCTTCTGTGCCTGGCTACTTTCCCTTGACAGAATAGTCCCCTAGTATATCGAGGCTGTTGCAAATGATAAGATCACTTTTTTATTCTGTTTGGCTGAAATGTATGTATATATATATATATATATATATATATATATATATATATATATAGTACGATATATACTAAAATATACATATCACATTTTCTTTATTCAATCATTGATAGACACAAGATGACACTAGAATATTATGAATAGTGCGGCAAAATAAAATGGAAAATCAGGTAACTCCTTAGCACACTGATCTCTAGTCCTTTGGAGAAACGATAGCATAGGATTCCTGGACAGAGTTTAAGTGCCAATGACAGCATGTTCAATATAGGTCCAAAGCATAGAGCATGCTCTCCTCTCCTAGCCGTACATCCTCTTGTAGCCATGGACTCTTAGGCTCAGGCAGAAGCTTCAGTTTTGGTCTTGCCTGTGATTCTGTTCTTCCACCTTTCACTGTCCACAATCTCAACGGTTCTATAAGATTCCAAGCAGACTTATTTCTATATTATTCTTCCTAGGTCCCTTTTGGATACTGGCTTATTTTCTACCCTATCCATAGGGGACAAAATTGGCAGGACATATCCATAGAAAGCTAGGCCAGAGCACTCCACTAGGGAGGGTACTGTCATTTCTCAGAAAGGCAAGTCTTGCTCCTAAGCTCAGACCACACCCTCTGAGAGGACACTCAGCATACTGATTCCTTTCAGCCTGTCCTTTTTGGTCATTGTTAACAGCACGGTGTCTGACTTGGAACTCCATGATCGATTATCCGGCCTGTAACGACCACTTAAGTGAGAGTGACCACATCTACAATAGGACTAGAAAGGATCATTCTCTCTTCCACTAATACATGAATTATTTTCAGGTAAATACTGTGTGTTAGGCAGTAGATACACAGAAAAGCAGCCTGTTATGTAATTTCTGTGGGTTCTCTCATTTTATATGCCACTTTCCTTGTGTGAGATTGTTGGTTTATATCTGGGCTTAAAAGCCACAAACACCAAACTAGTCTTGCTCTGAAGATAATATTTACTTGAAGTGTACGTGCCACAAATACTGCCACGTGTCAGAGGTTTCATGTCCATTATCAGAGCAGACCTAAGAACAGCAGCTTAGGGGTCTAAAATGAACAAGTCAGAGCTCAGCAGGGACAGGTGGAAGATGAGGAGACGGACAGACAGCCTAAGCAAGGAGGTTATGATCTAACACATATGCCTTGGTGCACAAACTTGGATGTGAAATGGTGGAGCAGTCTCCTGGATCCATTAGTACTCCTGGTCTGGTGTCAAATTTAATCCATGTTACTAGTGAAGCCTGGCCACATCCAATAGTGGACATAATTAGGGAAGTTTGCACAAACTGAATACATCTAATCTCAAGATATAGTGCTCAGCATGAGTAGATCACAGTGTGCTGCACTGGCTTCTTCAAGTAGCCGAAGAGTCACAGCTCCTCAGAGGACTTAGGCAATCTGGGCTTTGCTGCAGAAAAAGTGTTGGCTTCAGTCATGAGTCAACATGTCTCTCTTCCTCATCACTGCACTCTTTAAGGCTGGAAAATTATCTATCTCTG